TTATCAAGTTAATCTAAACAAATACGCTAATCATGTTGAGGAAATAACCCTAGCACTTAGTGGGGACGCAAAGACTTCATTTTTGTAATCACTCGTGTAATTAGAACCATTTTATTATTGATTTTCTCTCCACTCGCACGCCTGCCACGCACCACATGTACAGGTACAGCCTGCCTGGTTACCACGCACCACAGGTACAGCCTGCCTGGTTGCCACGCACCACAGGTACAGCCTGCCTTGTTACCACGCACCACAGGTACAGCCTGCCTGGTTACCACGCACCACAGGTACAGCCGGCCTGGTTACCACGCACCACAGGTACAGCCGGCCTGGCTGCCACGCACCACAGGTACAGCCGGCCTGGCTGCCACGCACCACAGGTACAGCCTGCCTGCCACGCACCACAGATTCAACCAGTCTATCTGCCACGCACCACAGGTATAGAAAATACAATGATGCGAAGAAGTCATTAAGCCGAACAAGACCCACTGGGCCTCTTTGAAAATGTACTTTCAGATGAAATCGAACATCCTCTCCAATCCCATCTGTGCTGGCTGAATAGCGGGGTAAAACTCCATGGATGTGCGCCAACTTGTATGCTCGACAAATTGCTATCATACATCACACTTATGACTCTACCGATAACATCGATTCTATCATTTTATCATCACAAGAGAGAGCCGTGGGCCAATGTTGGATACGATATTTCAATAAGAGATTTTCTCATTACTGCTTCATACGACTGGGATTTATAATTAATGACTAACGATTCTGTAAATAATGTAAACATGAGGAACGTCACTCGGGGATGTTCATTAAGTGATTTTCTTTGATAAACGAAAACGTGTGCCTCCGCTCAACTTAACAAGCCGGCATTCTACACAATAGGCAATCACGATGTGCCATGAACATACACTGTACATGCTAATGACAGACATAAAGGCCAAGATACGATAGCATCAATATTGGAGAGATATTATATCTTGTGTATTTTACAACCATCAATATTTCTTTTCAGAAGCTGAAACTTATAATCTGGGTATCTGAAGCACGCCTTTATGTTTTTATATTTTTATTTATTCCTTTATGCCAGGCACCTGGCCCATATGAACATATTTGTGGGAAATGATACATGGCCACGGGAACGAAATACTGTACCTCTAACAAGGTTTACGCGATGCTTCCAGAATGTGCTCAGATTGGAACACTGTAGTTTTAGGAGCGGAGCAATCGGGAAACGTATTGTTTATGGGAAAAGATTTAATGTACATTGAAGAAACGAATAGATCCTCATACTAGCTATGGTTTAAAAGTCGCAAACATTCTTGGCGTATTCTTGCTGAGTATACATGATTTGTGAAAAACAATCTTCCTAGTACCTCCAGGTGGAATTGCAATACCGTCTGAGCATTGTCACAAATGATTACTCTGTAACAGATTGCACTTTTACTTGCAATTCGAGCTTTCTGGTAAACGTTATAATTGGAAATCCCACTGAGGCAGTCTGGTTGCCATTCATTGTAATTTACCTCCATGGTAGCCATTGACAATAGAGCCAAGGGTAAATAACGGAGTTTGGCAGCTAGTCTCCTCCAGACTCTTTTGCAGGCTGAATAAATAGTAGAAATCGCCCTAAAAATTATAGCTGGCCAGGGGAGTTGGCCGGCCATAAAGGGTCCAGTTTGCCTGCATATGGCCGGCCAACTCCCCTGGTCAGCTACATTCTTTTTAGGGTTATTTCCACTATATGTTTAGCCAGCAAAAGAGTCTGGTGGAGACTAGATGGCAACTAGGCTAACAACGCAAGGTGTCCAGTAAGAGATCGGCAGATTTCAGGTGTTGATTCACGAGATAACCGGTAACCTCGAGTGGGTTCACGGCACGAAAACTGGTACTAGTATTTAGCACGCTTAAACGTAGCGTAACGGTGAGGTTTCTTCCTCCTTTCCGCAACTTTACGATCCCTAAACGTGCACGTAAAGATTGCCTTAACGTGACCATTCCGCAGGTGCGAAAAGACTCATTTTCACTCCTTCGCGTACCTTTCCGTGACTTTAAGATGCTTAAAGGCGTCGTTAAGCACGCTTTAACTTTGCGTAAAGGCGACGTTTCTTCTTCCTTTCCGCAAGGCGACGTTTCTTCTTCCTTTCCGCAACTTTTACAACCCCTAAACGTGCACGTAAAGATTATATGTGATAGCACCAGGCAGTGCTGCTTGTTGCTTTTATATTTAGTTAATCCAATCCAAGCGCATCTCCTGCACCAGGTCGGGAAGTGACTTAGTTAACATAAACTAGAGAACGATCGATAGAACAGGTCGTTATTGTGATCCGTGAGATCGTGAGGAGTATCACTGATTTTCTCACCACTGAAACACGTACGTGTTCACAGTCATGATAGAGGCACGGAGGACATTGGGGAGAGAGATTAGATAGTACGTATATGTTTCAAATTGAATATTGACTCAGTGCCTGTGTCTGCACTGCGAGAAAGCCAATCTTTAACCACAGATAAGAGCATGCATTAAAGGCATCCAATGTAATTTCTTGGCGGCAAAACTGGAAATATTCTGAAGAAGGCGATCTGTATGATATTGACACAAACTGCTTCACATTAGTACTTTTGAATGAGTATTTCATATCCTTTGGGCTTTTAAATCTGCAGAAACAAGCCCTATAAAGAGTCCTATATTTTCTGGGTGGTACCCTAAAAATCAATCCAGGATCCTTCCAGCAACAATTTTCCGTCACAATTTTCGGTATTTTTCCTCCACGAATGTCAATATATATTGCGACAGTGTTGTTATAACTTAGTATGTAGATAAGTGACTCTAAAAATATTGACTTTGAACAATCTGGCTTTCAAGCCCTGAAATTGCATTGGATGCAAACCCATTACACCTGCATAGTCTGACTCATCAAAAAAGCTTTGCGATCAAGCTGTAGTATCTTAAAACAATACATAGTATTACTTTCTAGTTGCTGTGTATTTGGTGCATGCATGTGACATTGCATTCAGTATGACATGTATCACGCAATAGTGTCATCCAAGGCAATTTCAGGGCAACAAAACAATAATATTCTGGATGGGCAAATCTATTAGCCTGGGTGCCATCCCCAGTAGTATATTCGCAAACTCTATATAGTTTGCGAATATAGTACTGGGGATGGTACCCAGGCTACAAATCTATTGGATATTGCCATTTAATTTCTTAAACTTTCGTCTCTATTTCATACTTGAGCACCCCAAACAAGCTACGTGAAGAGTCCCTTTATTTTTCGAGCACTGCCCATAAACACGCTAGAAGCAACCTACGATACAAAACAAGCAACCTTTTTCCGTCAGTGACATCGCATTTTACCTCACAGATATCAGTATACTACGAGATAGGATTGATTCCACTGACTACATTAAACGAATGACCAGAAAATTGACTTTGAAGGTCCAGTTTTGAAATTGCAATGGATGCCTGTAAGACCCTATTGAGCTCTGTGATGCAGTGAATCAACCCACCTGTAATATGATGGAGAGTAGCTGTCCGCCCTCCTCTATCCGGACTTCTGTCTCTACATCAACTAGACACCCGGGCACGCCTGGAGTCCCCTCAGCATAACGGTAAATGTATCTGCCGATGGTTCTGGTATGATATAAGCCGCTCTGCCTGCTCCCTGGCGGCGTTACACCTGCACAGCTAGAGATAAATCCCGTCTACCTCCTCTCAGCAAGACCGACTGCTTCTGTCTGAGTGACAGCCCGACGGTTAGCGGTTAAACCCGGACGGAGGAATAACATACACGCCCGACACACCGTGAGATAACCGGTTATCGATTGGAGTGAAGCAGGTTTCAGCCCCCACAATAAGACTATGCGATCCTTCTCATAACGCCGGCACCCGTGCACGTAAACCACTCAGTACTTCAAAACAATGATTACTCTTCTTTGAAGGTTTTTGCATGCTGCATTACTCGTTGAAGCTCTTGCGTTTTTTTTCGGTGAGGGGCTATGTTTTAGACCGTCTGAAATAGACAGGTGCGGTATAATGAACACGGTGGCAGCGCACGATATAAATGGCTCTTATATACACAGTGCAATCAATAATGTTGTACGTAAAACTACCAAGGGGCGGAGCCAATGTGCATAGCCTCATTTTACAGTCCCCAGATAACATAACGAACGAACGAGCATTTTTACGAGTCTTTTTTTCACGGTATTGCTCAATACAATTTAAAGTCAAAATGACCACTTCTGTGCACTGAGCTAGATGGTGCGACAGGTATACGACTAAGGCAAAAGGTGGCGGTAAATGTTTACTTTGAAAGCTCGAGGGATTGTAATGAAAGCATGTTTGGAAAGTTCTATAATATAGCAGTCTGGGGAAAGAAATTATAATTACCTTCATGAAATATAGAGGTATTGTTTTTGGTATATACGTGTGTTTCCAGATGGCCCTTAGGTCAGGTTGTAATGGATATGGTTGGGTTCAGTCTAACCCAGAGTGAGAACGTCATTAATCACTTCTACATCTCGTAGAGCTCACTACTTTTACATGTTTATCATTACATGACCTCCTTGACAGCTTACCTTGTTACCAGTAGCTGTCATAATCAATGTGAAATATTTAAAAAATGACATTTACAGAAGATCTAAATATTTCATGGAGGTCTGGGATCTCCGAATTCTTGTTCAAGACGTAATGTGGCATTTTGGATTCCCTTAGGATCCTGGCCCTTTAAATCTACTACAAATTTGTCTTTCCCAGATTAGGCTCTTACCCCTTTGTGGTCAACTTTGAATGTAAGTGTTAGAATCCAGTACTACTTGTACATAATCTTAAAATGTACTGTTCTTTGGATTATCATAAAGTTATACATCTGTTGTAACTAGTCAATATGGTCCACTAAAGGTAAAGACAATTGCTGATAACTTTATGACTACTCTAGTCACAAACACAAAATTGTGACAAACAAGACAGCAAAGATAAATAAATAGATTGAACAAGCTTGCTTTAGAATTGTACATTTATGTCAAGATGTATATATGCCGCAAAAAATAGGTCAGAAATCTTATATTGGCTGGTCAAAAATTCATGCATACATGTTACACAATTACACTGATACAACTTCTATGTCAGTAATTAGCTACACACCCATATAATCTCCTCTTAACAAACCCATACATTAGGTCAAACTACACCACTAATCGGTAAGCAACTCAGTTACACAATCAAAACCTGTTTTACAATGAAAGGACAAATTTTACGTTATTTCTTCATCTATTCCGGAAATTTCCTGACCTGCCTCAACTTTCTGTAGCCTGGGTGTCAGCCATTTTGGAACTGGGCTACTTGCTCTCGCTTACTAGTTTTTTTTCTGGGTAGCAAAAGCAAGGAGCCCTGTTACAAAATGGATGGCACCCAGGCTAAACTTTCTGATGTCCACTGTAGTGCATGTACATGAGTGTATGAGTATGTCATTGGCCAAACATCATATCCAGATGAACATTTCTGGTATATGCTGACTTTCTGAGGCTACAGAATGGTCAACTGAAGTTTGGGAGCAGTCTGACTAAATTTAGTCCACGCCTTTTTATATGAATTTAACAGAAATTTGACTGCCAACCATGCCCTTACCTACACTCTATACAGGACAAAGCAGGAAAAAATCAGGACAGAATTGGTGTCTGGAAATTGTTGGCCATTTAAAAACCTTCTCACAGTCATAGAAAGCTTACAAAGGTAGGATAGAGTGACTGAACAGGTAAAGAAATAGTGTGAAGGAGAACATTGTACTGATACATGCGCATACATGTACTGTCATTCAAGTCTATTCACCATCACATATCAACAGTGCACTAGAGAACAGAAAACCTGTTGTCTTGAGTGAGATAAGTACTGGAAACACATAGATGTTACGTACATGTCACGTAAACACTTGTAAAAATGGTCTAGCTGTTCATTGATGTTTGCACATTCAATGTAGATGTCTCATTCAGTCATAGTGAAGACACGGTTTCCATTGGATTCAAAGACAAACCAAACTCTACTCTTGGACAAATTATAGACATTACTTCCGGACACTTTGAGTGACATCCACCACTCTTCTTCAGTGTCACTAAAATTAACTGAAAGAACAAGTCAACACTTATCACATGTGAAGGAACAAGAATAACCAGTTGAACATGACAAAGACTCATAAGGGTCACTTCTATATAAATGATTATAAGATAGTTCCCATGGTAAGACAACACTGTCCCTTGGCGGGGCCCCACATACTTGAGAGTTGACTCTGAAGAAGAAAAACGAGTGACAGATTTCACTCAAAACATCTGGATGTAATCTCAGTAATTCATCCAGAAGCAGAGTTTGATTTGTCTTTGAATACTGTTTGCCTTGATGTTTAACCTTCACCAACATGGTTCACATTGTAGTTTGGTCAGAAAGGCTACAAACTAAAAGGATGAAGTGTTTCATAGACTTGAGTAGGACATACAACATTCACAAAGACTAATTCAACAGTTGACTGAACTATGTACACAAATCTAGGATATGGCAGAAGTACATGTACTAGTACTAGTAGTAGTTAATGCTATGTACTGTGCAAGAAATCACACAAATTAATATTTGTTGTGTGCCTTTCTAAAATTCTGACATTTTCTGTGTGTCTAAATGGTACATAACAAAAAAGGCATTTCATACATTCAAAATGTACTTTCTTTCCATAAACACAAGTATATGCAGCAACTTTATGTTTTCACATTTTCAACAAGCTATAGGCTCCTGACACCTAGTCCTCTCCTCATATAGCCCAAAACCATGTACATGTTCATAACAGGAGTATTAGTTACAATTGATGACTATCATATTCTACACAAACCTACATGTACAATGTACATGTAGCACTTGACACACAGTATGCTCATCACTGGTGTGACCAAATACGTAGCAAGGAATTTATTGTTGCAATAATTATTACTCATGACATAGTAGCCTGGGTACCATCCAGATTTTGCTTGCCTCCACTACGCTGCAAAATCTGGATGGTACCCAGGCTATGACATGATAGAGAAAAAGGAAAAAAAAGTAGTGTATTTATTTACTAACCCTACAAAATCTAACCTCACACATACACACATTAGTCCGTAACAACCTACCTGGAAGAATCAAAATAAATTTCTGACTGGGAATTTTCTCAAGTCATTTCCTTCTTTTTTGTTGTTTATACAACAACCAGAAAATGGATCAAATTTTAAGAAAATTTCTTGAAAATTCCCATAATTATGTGGTTCGATACTCCATAAGTTTAAATCATTGTCAGTCTGATTTGTAATTATAAGAAGATACATGTAAACACAGTACCTATGGCCTACAAGTGTGTATCAACTGTAGTTCAGAATCAGTCAAACCAAACAGTTATGTGAACTGTTACAATGGTTATACTGTGTTTAAGCCCAAACCTGTCCACTAGGCCTTAATTTTGAGGCCAAATGTTGTGAGGTTTGTATCCTGACTCTGACCAGGGCTGCGTACTGGTACACAGTACCAGTACAGTACCAAAAAAATCTACCAGGTACAGGTCAAAAACACTGAATCACTACGTACCAATACTGTACCAATATAAATTTACACTACCGCATCGGACCTGTATCTGGACCTCTGTACCGGTACCTGTACCTGATGTTATGTTAACATGTACGCAGCCCTAACCCCATGTCAGTATTGCTAATTTTCGAGTGTACATCATACATTCCAACATCCCTACCTTTCAGGCTTCCCACACCTAACCCAAAACAACACAAAAAAAACCTCTGCATGCAGACTGTCCAGACTTGGTAGATGTAAGTGACGATGGCTGTGGCAGCTAGGAACTAGACGAGGAACGTCTGCAAAGGAAAGGGACAATTTACAGTTGTTATATATCTTACTTCAATACACAATGTCTACAGAATACAAAGAGCAACTTTGGAACTTCAAAGAAAAAAGGCTTAACAACTGATTAAACTAAAGGTTTGGGAGTTCCATAGATTTAAAGTTAAGAATTTAAAGGTACTTCCATGATGATTGCCAATAGAAACATGATGGAAACTATAAAACTTCTATTGGTCTTCTGAAAAAGTATGAATGCTACAGACCCAAATTGAATCTAAAGAAGACGGGTAAAAATAAGGGTCCAACAAATTTACATTCGTACTTTTAAGTTTTCTGGCTTTATTGTAGCTCCTTTTAGCAAGTTCTCTCCATAGTATAATATTAGCATTTTAAAGTATAATATACAAAACCAAATATCACATACACATTACACAATACTGCAGAATGTTGCTGGTGATGTTGAATACATTGGCTAACTACTAGTAACTAAACACATGCAGGGTTGTCACAAAATGTTCACACTTTGAACAGAAAATAACCATGCATGTGTCATTCATGCTGACATAATTCATCAGAAAAATCTTTGAATAAAAATACTATATATAAAAATGCATGTTGTTTATTCAGCTAAGTGACTTCCTTTTCGCCCTTGGTCTTGCTGTCCCACAGAAAAAATGTAGTACAACTCATTCATGTCTCATGTACACTTCATAATATCATTGTAGTAGTAGATACAGTAGGCTTCTTGGGGGGGGGGGCTACTGGTCATGTATGACTTGTGATGCTATCAAGCTGCATGTACATGTAGGAGGAGCCATCCAAGACACCTTCATGGACATTTTGCTATGGTAAATGTAGCAACTCTATGTACGGTAGAAATCTGTACTATTAGAAGTTATCACTGTCCAGATATCACATCATGTATGTATTGTATAACTCAGATGAAGTTACTGTTATCATAACAGGGTTTTTGTCTAAGAAGGCCACTTTTCCTCGGTTCCCTTGGATGGTCGTCTTAGACAAGCCTGACTGCACTTTGTGGAAGACAAACCTATTACACATAAAGAACATTTCCCATATGTAGACATTTTAGCAATTATCTTTTACGTCCTAACCAAGTTCCTTATGTTCTGCTTAACATTTAGACCCAAACCTTTCCCCAGAACTGGAGCGTGATCCGGAGTCACTGCCGCGCCGGTTGCGTTTTCTGCTCCCTGACCGAGAGCGCGACCGTGAGTGGCGCCGCTTCCCACGACGTTGTTCTGACCTGGACCTGAAATTTACACAAAAAGAGACATGCAAACCCACAAACTTGCAACAAAGTAACAACACACATGTAGTTCTATACAAAATGTATATAATATGGTTCTACAAAATTACTGATGTAACTCAATCTTCCATCACACATACTGACTTACTAAATGAACAAAGTTGCCTGATATCCATCCACACACAGGACTCAAAATACTGAAATTACAGCAATGGTTTCTGAACAGTTTTTAGTATGATCCATCCTTCTCAAAGTCTGATTGGTGCAGGAAAAATTTGTCTGTTGCAGGTAATTTCTAGTGTCACCAGTACAGGTATGTAGAAAAAAGTATTTAGAGCCCTGATACTAAAATATTCACACCCCTTACTTTTGCCATTCATTCTTATCAGCATTCTATGTGGTCAGTTTGGGTGGTCATGTAGATACTAGTACATGTAGTACATCATACATGCATGAGGGTCATAATAAGTTTCTGTAAGCTAATACATGTACTGAGAATCTCATGTTATGGTAATGACTTCAACAGCATATGACCCATACAAAATGTACTACTCTTGCGATAATTATATCATTCTAAATAATAAATAGCAACATGAATGCATCTTAATATCAACCATCTATAGAATTACATGTTCACTGCATTCTAATCTCACAAATGCCATTGCAACTATAAAACTTATCACATAATTCTGCAGAACAGAGAATGAAGAAGTAAGGACAGGTGATAACGACCTTTTTCAGTTACCATACCATTCTACCATGTTACCTGGACCGTGATTGGGCGGAGCTGGAACTCCCGGAACTTGACGACCTGGAACGACTTGATCGCGAGCTGGAGGCGGAACTTGAGCGGTGGCTGCCTTTGTGTGAGTTTTCCTCGTCATCACTCGACAACTGATACTTGGAGAGGTCTGCATCATCATCCTACAGTAAGGAACCAAAATTTCATTGTAAAAAAAGATATGTGGTATACAATGTACATGTTATTCTACAAACAATCATCTGCACTGTCAAGCCACTGTCACACATAGCAGAATATGGCCTCCTGAACACTACAGTACTCCCCCTTAGTTAGTAACCATGGTTCTGAAAAATGAACTTATTCCAATCTTCCCCACCTCATCTGAATCCAAGTCATATTTGGAGGTGTCTCCCCCCTCCTCCTCCTCCTCCTCTTCTTCTTCTTCTTCCTCCTTCCCAGCAGGCTCATCAGGAGGAGGTGTGGAAGATTTGCTGGTCACACCTCGGAATTTCTTCTTCTTTCTTCCAAACTATGCGAGGCAGAGACACTTGTACTTTATCAAAAAACATACCATTATCATATGATAGAGTTAAGACTTAAGAGTTAAAATGTACTTGAAATTATCTATAGTATAGGATATAAATTATAATGTATTGAATTTGAAATCAGTTGAAGAAGTGGACAAGTAAACAAAACAAAAGAGAAAGCCAAAAATTAGAAATGAGCTGACCTCATCATACTCTCCATCTGACTCTTCTCTCTCCACATACTCCACATCCTCACGCTCATTGTAACCTCCTCCGTACCCTAAAAAATATCAGTACAGATGGGAACAACAGTGTTAGAACTTAGAAATATGCACCTGCAGTCTGCATTTTATAGAGACATTTTCTACGTTGCACAGGAGAAAAATTAAGCAGAAAAAAAATCAAGTTGGGAGTACCAACACCTACATGTACATACATGTGTACCTACATTGTAGCATTCAGTCAGTTATTCTTCATCTTTACTGTGAACTCACCTGTGCGTTCCTCCATCCTCCCATATTTTGGTGCCTTGCACATGTTACATTCATTCCTCCTGGCCCAGTTCACGTTCCCACACCTACAAGAGTAAACAGGGTGAACCATCTGCCTAATGCTCAAACAGCACATGACTAAAAGCTACATTATGTAACTTTACAACCATACATTAAGTCAATTTTTTGGTCATTTCTTTATGAAGTAGGTACAGACTTGCAAAATGAGTTAAAATTATCAATTAAAATAATATAGAAACCAAACTTTTGGCTTACGTTTTACACTGCCAGTCATCAGCACTGAACAATCCTTTACTTTTCTCTGCTGCAGCCTTGCCGATCTCCACACCTCCGGTCCGGATAACTTTAGCCTTGGAATCTTTGTCTGTGTGAAAAGGGAGTGTGGCATTTTTTATTTTGGGCCAAATATTGTGTTTCCCGTTTTCCAACCGACCCTGGCAAAAAATGCCACCCCTAGCATAGCGAACGAGGTAGTTTTATGAGTATTATACACCTCGGGGCAAGTCTTTAACCCTTAATTATTAACCTTCCTTCTAAGTATGCTTATGACATGGAAGTGTCTGACTCACCTTTGCCACATCTGTTGCAGGATGTTCGGCGAGCGAAGTTCATGTTTCCACACCTACAGATGATAAAGACATTAAGTACTAATGTTACATGTATTTACATGCAATTGGTAAAACTGGTGAGATACCTCTGCAGTACCAAAGCAAACCATTAGTGGGCGCCTAAAAATCTTATTTCCTTGATACCTGGGCTTTGACCTTCAAGATCTAGCCATGGCCTGTCCAGTGTTTTCCGCAAACCCCTTTTGGGAGAGTCGACAGAAACGTCAGGAAAATCAGGCGATTGTGTGCCACAGGAAACTTACTGTGGATCGGAGCATATCCAGTCGCCGTCGCTCGCCTTGAACGCCTTGCCCGCGTCCTTTGTCGCACCTTGCACACCACCTGACGACATGGCTGCTCCAGTCACCCTTCTGGAACAAATCTGAGATGTAATACTCGATTTCAGGACACCGATTTCACTAAGAAGCTAAAAATTACTGAAAAGGTGTAAAAGTATGAAACATCTATTATATATCAAGCTCGAACCACTATAAAGTATAACGATACTAACGTTACCTGGTTTGTGGATCCTCAGAATTATGAAATAGCAGTCTATTGCGTTATTTTTTTCGGTACCTGTATGTATACGACAAAATTATTCGATTTTTACTCATTTGTCATCAGAACTGAAGAGCATAATATCTAAAATTGAGTTCTATTACATTTGTCTGACTGTGTTGGTGTTTATTTCGCATATATGCATCCCTATACGTGTAATTTAGTGGCCTTGTTTTCAGGGACAAAAAGGTCTACAGTAGGCACCTAACTTTATTACCGAGCTCTCGCGAGATTTTAGACTAATTAGATCTTCTAATTGTCCAATCAGAGACGACCACTGTCATGTGCTCGGCGGTAGCAATGGTACAGTCACAATCATGCAAATATTGCATAAACAAATCAAGTTTATTTTTAGTTGAAATGTTTTACGTCAGTAAGTGGCACAGTAACATGAAATACAGTAATTTGACTTCACAATCATTGAATAGAGTGCCCTTTTTGAGGGTTCAGACCTGTGAAAATTAAGTTCTGCCATAACTCGTGCCGTCATAAATTTGCATATACAAAATTTGCATACACATGACTACAGAAATACGGTTGTAGCCTGTGCTGAGGTGAGTGATACACTGGTTCCGTTTGTGGTGAAACACTTTTGATAAAAATAGGATCATCACAGTCTTGGCGCGATATTATTGTTAACAACATAACTGCTTTCCTCACACGAGGTGCTAGTTTTATCTTGCCATGATTTTTAGACGTAGGACGAGGTTTACTTTCCTACCTGTATATTTTGCGTCATCGGTAACTTGCAAGTTGGTCTTCAAAATGTCCCAAGTTTCAAAATTGCCACCTTTTGTTACTAACAAATTAATTCCAGGCAGCCCCGACGTAGTTGACCACAACTTACACATCTATGTAAGCCGGAAATTTCTTGAGGTGAAAAACAAAATTATGTTTCCTTATCTCCAAGCAGATGTTTGGGGGTGAAGATTGTAACGTTTTCAGACAGCCGCCAGAAAAGACCGGCAATCACAAAATATCCACCCAAACGTCTGCTTGGAGACGAACTTTTTCTCTTCATGTGTACACGGTTACACTTACAGGCATCAAATGAAATTTCAGAGCAGCAAAACAAGAAATATTCTGAATGAGGAAATCTGTTTGATATTGACATTTCTTAGCACATTTTGTCATCATTTTATACTTGAAGCACTTGAAATGGGTCCAAAACAATCTACTTGAGGCATCTCTTTATTTTCTGGGTACCACCCATAAATAGCTATAATACCACCCAAAAGAACCAAGTAAGATACAAAACAAGTAACCAACATCACATTTTTCCTTGAAATATCAGTAGACAGTATGCTCTGGGATAGGGTTGATTCAATTAAGCTGGTTTAACTTAAACTTTAAAGTGGACAAGCCTTCTCCACTTGCTGTTAAGCAGATGTCTTGACAATGTCCCCCTGTATATGCATACTGATTGATTTTGATTACCTTGTATTTCAGGCTTCCAGTCTTTGAGAGGTTAACAGTGCCCAAGCGACTGCCCTCCAGGCAACCGGATGATAAAAAAAAGGTCTATCCGCTACATGTGTAACTTGTAACGTGTAATATGTTTTCTCCATCAATGCCATCAGGACAGACTCCTATAGCATCAGGAAAAACTCTCCAGCCATGTTCAGGGTTGGAGAAGAACTGTAGAACAGGCACAACGGTTGACATGAACGCCTGTAAACTTGTGACAGATGAACAACTTGACAAAGGCCAACTTCAGTGCACTGAAGATGGTGCCAGTTCTAGAGCAATCTATGACACAGATGGAGAACTAGTCCAGAATGATGTAGAACTAGTCCAGAACAATGCAGAACATGTCCAGAATAATTTAGAACTAGTCCAGAATGATGGAGAACTAGTGCAGAATGATGGAGAACTAGTCCAGAACAACAGAGAACTACATGTAGGTGGCAACCTGTGTGCTGATCATGTTGTAAAGCAGATAGCACTAGCAAAGACCAAAGGTTGTGAAAGGTCTACTTTCGACCAAGGGGTTTCGGTGGGAAAAGTTTCAAAGACGACAGTAGAAAATGACAGCAGCTCTTCAGTGAAAATTGTGGGAGAAGTTGATCACTCAGGAGAGAGTGGAAGAGGAGGGATAAGAGAGCAGACTCCATCAGTGGAACAGGGAGAGAAAGAGATTTTGGATGTTGTTGGTGGCTTCCACGATGGATTATCCAACAGTAAGATGACTAAGTGCGCCTTCAGAGCTGTGGAATCTGCTGAGGGGAGCCGATCGGACACGCCGACCAAGAAACAGTTCAAGTCGGAGTTTAAGGGCACAGAAGAGGTGCGGACTTGGAGCCATGAGCTGCAGCAGGGGTATCGCATCCTTCGGGAGATCATGGTCGACCATTACAAGTAAGCAGCAGCCTTTTTTTATCCATTATTTACTTGTCAAGCCCATATCAAGTATGGCTGATATCTGCACATGCTGATCAAAACAGTTTCAACAGGTTAATCTATCAATCTATAACGTTACACTCATAATAATATAGCCATGTAAAAGCCGCGTAACACATAATTGAAGCTTGCGCAAGAGCTGTGTAAACTGCAATTGCACGTGGCTGCCTTTAGTGCATGACCACGGATTGCGATTATATAAACATCTACTAGTACACTCGTTTTACACAAGAAATGAACATGATTTACCGTAAACGAAAATTGGAACAGTTTTTGCACAGGTTTCAATCCAGAAATTTGTGGCTTTTAAAAACCCTGCCCTATAACTTGTAGGAACATCTCATGGCCGTTTGTGAACCCAGTGGATGTGGAGGGAGAGAACCTGTGGGACTACAATGACAGGATCAAACAACCCATGTGTCTGAGGAAGATCAAGGACAAGTTTCACAACAGGTAACCTGGGTTAAAGTTAAAAATTTTGTTTCAACACAAGGGACTGTTCTTACCTAGAGCTTTCGACCAGTCACTCTGGTCTTCCTCAATAGACTCGCTGACCAAGTGAGACTTGTCACATGGCTTCTCTGAAGTCTCACTGGGTCAGTCTACTGAGGAAGACCAGAGTATACGTGACTGGTGGAAAGCTCTAGGTGAGAACAATTCTTTAAAAGTTTTAACTTTTAACATGTAACTACCAACACAGATGAACTTTCATGATAACAGGTTAGCCTCAATTCAGCTGCAGAAACACAAACACAAATCTATAAAAAGAGCAAACCAAATGTATTTTTCTCACTTCACATGTTTATTGTTTCTTTCAATTTCAAATGTTGGTAGGGTGTGCCTCTCCAAGAATTACTAAATGGATAACTTCAAGTTTACAGACCCCATCAGTATGACTGAGAATGAATCAGTCAATTGATGAAATGATACGTGATAATCCCATGTTGTTCCACCAGTGATTACACCAGTATCACAGAGTTTGTAGCTGACATGCGGCTTGTGCTGGAGAACTGTTACCGCTACAATGGCATCAACCACTACGTCTCCAAACAGGCACAGAAGATGGAGAAAGTCCTGGAGCAAAAGCTGGCTCTGCTGTCCAAGTAAGCTAATACAAATCACAATTATTTCGTGGCTCTTTTATATTTGCAGTCACTTTTGTACCACGAACTGAACATTACCCTGAACAAATAATTTGCTGACTTCCTTTTGCTTCACCTTCCTTTACCCCAAACATATACATGTACATGATTGTGTAGATCTGGTAACATGCTCGGACCACAATTTTTTTTTTTACCGCGAATATAAAGTGATTTACAGTATTATCTTCATGATTTTTAATAACATTTGAATGTGTTAGAACAAAAGTTTTAACTTTAAAGCTAAACATGTAACTACCAACACAGATGAACTTTCTTGATAGTGAAGAAATTATCTTTAACTTTCCATTTTCCTATCTCCTAACAGGACCCTGAGGGAAAAAACAACACTACACATGACATCAGGAGGGAAGTATGGGGAGGATCCTGGGTCTAAACGTCGGTCTGTAGTCAGGAGTCTGCAGGTTACCCATGATCAGACTGGTTCTGTACTACTCACATACATCCGCACAGAGATAGAGGCACAGGTATGGCCAGCAGGTTGTTTGTTTGTTTATGTTTACATGTACATGTACCTCGTACAGCATCGCACCAAACAACAAATACATATTAACTTGCTCCAAACACCAATTAAATTTGTTGGTTCACGGATTTGCCCACTTCTTTTTTTTTCTGGTTTGCCAAAATTTACTATGAAAAGTTTTCAGGCTCAGAATCAACTCAAAAATGCTCATATTTTGTCCCTAACAACTGTTGAAGGGAGTAAGGGAATCTCTTCTCTTCAGAGTTGTTACAGTTTTTCCATCTATCAATGCAGTGGTTTGACAAAAGGCTTGGAATTCATTGTTTGAATTACAGACCAGACTGGTATGTTGACTTCATGGCATTTGGGGCTATCATAGGATGCCTAGGCCTGTTTTCATTTTTGTTTTTCCCGTCCCTTCATATTTTTTCTGAAAAAACCTGAGAACCATCAAATCAAATTGGTGTGACCTAACATAGACTCAAAAGATCCCGTTTTATTTTGTTTTTAGGAGAAGGAGGACCGCCGGCTGCGTGAGCTGGAGAAGAGAGAGGAGTGGCAGAAACAGCAGCAGGAGATCCTCGACTGGGAAAACAAACTGCTGGAGGAGACCCATCTCAAGGAACTCTGGGAAATACCAGCCATTGGTAAAAGAATGCTGTACTGTTAATGATGTGTTAATGAGTTGATTATGTATCAAGTAACAGGGAAATACAAATTGTAGTAGTATAACTTATACATTGTAATTATTGTTGATTGAGATTTTGTTATGATTTTGAAGACAATTTCACACTTAAAGCGTTTGAAATAGCCCCAAAACAAGCTATGTGAGGCGCCTCTTAATTGTTGGGTACCAGCCATAAATAGCTGGAACCCACCTACCATACAAAACAGGCAACTGGTTTTTATCAGAGACAAGCAACCATTTTCCTTTACATTTTTGGCCTCACACTCACAAATATAAGTATGCTATGGGATAGGATTGATCCAACATTAAAAGACTGACCAGAAAATTGACTTTGAAAATCCCATGTTGCCACTGACACTAACATTGCATTGGATGCCTTTAATATCTCCTTTTCACACTGCACTTTCCTCCACAGGCCACTTCCTCTGCCTAGCTCAGCAGATTCTCAACATCCCAGAGGTGGTGTTCTACGAGTTGGAGCGAGGCTTAGCCATGCCGCAGGCCAGCTCCACACTGGCCATGGTGTTCACCTACCTCCTCTGTACCCCACACCAACGCACAAAACTCCCCAAGAAGCCACACATGCCTTACTCTATATGGAACAAAAAACTCAAGGAAAGGCTTCAGGAATGGTATGATATTCTAGATGAACAAGACACCTATGAGGACGCAGCTGACTACATAGGTATCACGCGGGAGTTTTTCCATGAACTTGGGGAGACAAATCCGCTTGTAGATCAACAGTATCATGAGTTGCCTTTCAGACAGCGAGTTTGGATCCTGAAGTCCCTGTGCGACAACGTGTACTGGAGTGAAGTGGAGATACAGGAGACGGTGGACGGGCTGCCCGTGTTCGAGCAGAGGGAGGTCATTCTGGGGTACGACGCGGACGGGTGCGCGTACCTGCACTTTCCACAATTCTGTGGGGCTGACCTGCGGATCTACAAACAGCGGCCGCTACCGGTTCCCTGCCTGCTGAAGACTGAGAAGAAAATTAAAAAGAACCTAAATCAGTCGGAGACCAGCTCACAAAATGCAGAAACAAAGACTGAAGAAGAAGAAACAGACAGACAGAAAACTGCAGAAACTGAAGACGTGAAACATGAAAATGAAGACATTAAGGACAGTGAAAACAAGGATGATGAACATCAGGAAGATGAAGATCTCAAAGTTCAGTCATCAGAAAAGACAGAGTCAAGAGAAGGATCTCCTACAACGGAAGAAAAGGGGCAGGGGGATGCTGCAACTCAAAGAACATCTTCCACACAAGAGCAGACAGTCTCAGATCCCACACAGGCTACGTCAGAGCCAACAACAAGCGTTTCGAAGTCAAGGCATGAATGCAGCAAAGTCAAAACGGAAGAGACATCCGTGGAAAAGCTATCCGTGGAGCAGAATCCTCACAAAGGAAGTGGAGACGGTAAACTATTACACGAGGAGGTGACTACTGAAAGTGCAACAAGAGTGAAGAAAAGAAAACAGGTGAACAGAGACAGTAACTCAGCGTTAAGAGACAATGAGAGAGTGCACAGGGCATCCAAACGAAGGAAGGTTGTGTTGTCCAATAGCCAGGATACTGCTAGTCCTGGTGTAGAAGGGCTGCATGCATACATGTCTCCGAGACGCTCCAAGCGACAGAAGAATAAGGTGGAGATGTACACCACTCCAGACCACAGGCAGTCCAGTAGGAAACTCAGGGACAACCAGGCTGACACTGGTGCAGGGAAGGTCTCATCAAGTAAGAAGAAAAGGAAGAAGAAAAAGACAAAAGGTGAGATGATAGAAATTACATTTCTGTGTACCAGGAAACACTTTTTTCTATGTACCAGCACTGAATTCTGGTGAAGTAAAACTTGTCTGGTAATTTTCAATGTTACCTGCATCAGACAAGTTTTACCTGCACCATTCAGAGTCAGACTTTGAGAAGTATGGATCATACTAAAAACTGTTCAACTGTCCATTGCCATTATTCCTTGTATACTTCATAGGTGGTAGTAATTAATGCAGCAAATGAAAACCACATACATCTACAATCATTTGTATATAAAACTAGTACATGGACCAGTACAGATAGACATAAAAAAATTTTACCTGTACTAAGCTGCATATACACCCAGTATTTCCCAGAATGTTTATTTGCATATGCACCCTACTTTGTCGTTATAATTGTTAACGTATATTTCTACCAGACAAGACCAACAGTTGTAAGAGCACCAGTGTAGAGCTGGAAGAAGGACCAGAGTTCATGACAGCCTGTGAGAGTGTCGAGGAACTGAGAACTCTGACTGCACAATTTGCACAGCCAACTGCTGAAGATATCCTCAAATGCAACAAGGTTTGTTTGTTTGACAGTTCCAGTTCTGTCATCGCTAGCTTGATACTAGAAATGTGCTTGAAACTAGAAATGTGCTTCATGTCATTGTTATTAGAAAAGGTATAAACTTTATACTTAACTTTATTCTGTGTTTTGTGTCTGATTCCACACAGTTGGGGAAGTCTCCCCATCGGAAGCGCTCAGTGGTGGAGCTGCACCAGGTGCTACAGAACCTGCTGACTGAGCTGGAGCCGTGGGAACAGAAACTGGTCAAGGCTCGCACAAAGGCCAGGTGGGGGTTTTACTAAAGGCATCCAATACAAAACATATCTGATATTTACAATTACTTATATTTCTTAGCACAACTTAGTCATCATTTCATACTTGAAGTGTTTGAATCAAATTGTTGTAGCCCTAAATAAGTTACTTGAGGCATCTCTTTATTTTTTTTGGCACTGCCCATAAATAGCTAGAACCAGACTATGAAGTATGATACAAAGGAAGCTACTATTTTCTGTAAGCGACATCGCATTTTTGCCTCACAGATGTCAGTATGCTATGGGATAGAATTGATTCAACTTACTACGGGGTACATTAATAAAAGAATGACCAGTAACCTGACTGAAAGTCATTTTTTATTGCTATTTTGAGGAACTGTTGTGTTTTAGTGTTATTGGTGTCATATGGTCTTTATACATGTAGTGGGAAAATTTCAGTGTATCTGAGTCGGCACTTTTACTTTGCATTTCAGAAACAAACTGCTTTCCGAGTGGCGAGACTTCCAGTCTGCACCACCGAGCAGTGAGGAGGTCGTTGATGTTTGGGGAGACAGTGAAGAGGAAGTTATAGAAGCAGAAGATGAGGAGCTGCAAGAAGAAGTGCAAGATGAGCAGGAGGAGGAGGCTGAAGAAGACACAGCATTGTCTGATGAAGAATGGACCATTGGTAGCAAGCGATCAGGAACTGTAACTGTTGCTGCTAAAGGAGAGTTAGGCAGGCTTCGCCCAAGGAAGAGAATATGTACCAGAGAGACTGAAACAAAGCAGACAGTAAAGGTAGAACCTGCTGCAAAGGAACCCCTGTCTGTGTCGCGTAATATCTGGGACTCGTTGAAAGCTCCTCCTGGTCATTTCTCTGCCTCTGGGTCACAGCCGCAAACAGCGGCACAACTGCTCCTGTCCATGAAAACCAAATGCAGCGTAGCCTCTCCACAGCTAGCACAAAACTCTGTCACCGTTAACAAGGCACCGAGTCAGATGGTACACCTCCGCAAAAACGTGGACAGCAATGTCCCGCAAATAATCCAGCTGCAACAGGAAGGGGTAAGAATTCTCGGCCCCAAGAAACCCACTGTCACAGGCCAACACGTGAAGCAAATTCTGCCTCCTAACCAATCAGGTGCTGCAACTCTGAAGGTGCCGCTCGTTCAAATGTCTACCACGCAACAGACTGGTGCAAAGGGGGTCAAAGGAAGCCCCAAAGTGCCTCAGATCTTACAACTGCAAACCAGTGGTTCCAGTCAACCTATATATCTGCTCCAACAAATGAATGAACAAGGGCAAGTGGTATACCTCCAACTCCAACCTACCTCCAACTATGGAACAACTGCCTCTTCCAAGACAGTCACAGGTCTCTCAAACATTGTCACAACCAAGTCGGAAGGAAACAGTAACCTTGTCAGCCCTCAAATCAGTAGACCTAAATTCCAACCTGAAACTCTTACCTCACAACAGCATTCTAATCTCACGGTTAAGAAGTCAAACATTGATGCAAACTTGCCACTTTCAAACAAAGGGCTTCAGAACCAGGCGACTGCCAGGTTGTCTGCTACGTCAGTCCAACAACAACATCACACCGTTGTGGGTCAGCTGGGCGCAACTACAAGAACAATCGCTACAACTGCTGCAACAGCAGACGTTAAGCTTGCCTCCACACTACTGAATCCTGCAGTTCTACAGCAGAATGCTTCACCAGTTATTGTGAAACCCCTTGCTGCAGCAGCAGGGTCAGAAGGATGTCAAGTTGTAGCGCCGTTAGCCAAAGCCGTGGCACAGTTCAGACCAACAACTCCACAGCTCATGCAAGCAGGAACAAAAGTGGTCATATCTAACGTAAATCAGGCTCAGCCGGCTTTACAACAAAGGCTGGTAACTCCGCAACTTGTACAGAGAGGCTTGAAAATCGTTTCGGCAGATGCACAACAGAATCAAACCAGTTTACCTGCAGGAACACAGTTGATTAAGACAGGAGTCCCCACAGGTAAGATGTACCCGGTGACAACCCCTTTTGCTGCACAAGGCACGAAAGTTGTCCATGCATCAACGTTGCAGCCAACAGTGCAGCCTGTCGTCAGTCCCAACACCCCCCAGTCTCAGCCACGGTTGCAGCTTGTACAGCTGAAGTCTGTCCCCATACCTGGCCCTGGACAGGGAAAAACCCAGGGCCAAATTGCACGAACAGTTCCCCAGACCCAAAGCAACCTCGCTACAACTAACACTCCTGCACAAGTCATGCACTTTAAGTTAAGCCCAATGATGTTGAGTCCAGTGCACAGTGTGCCACAGAAGGATGGAGATGGATTGCCAAACGTTGCCAGTTCCCCAAGAACACAGCATTCTATTCAGGGTACAAATATTCAGCCGAATCTTCAGCTGACAGGCGGTACAGCCAACACAGCAGCGACAGCACAGCTCAAGTCAGTTGGCAGCGGACTTGTCAGCCAGCCATCACTACAACACCAGCTGATGGTCAGCCCTCCAGTGCAACCACTTCTTCAAAGTCCAGGGCTGGTGACTGCAAACGGGATACTGCTTCAACCGCAGGCTAAGCAGGAGGCAAAAATGGTCACTGAAAGTCCAACAGTTGTACAGGTCAGCCGTGGAGCGCAGCAGCAAATATTGAAACAACCTACACAGGGTGCCAGCGCTGACGGCGTTCCACACCAGCTAGTAACACCTGCTTCAGTCGGTGTCGTTAAATCCACCCCTCAAGCAATGCCCTTGCCTCAGCCAAAGGTGGTGTTTTCATACTTGAAAACAAATAATACTCCAGCAACATCGATCATAAGCAATGCCAATGCTGCCATCCAAGGACAGACTGTTAACGTACACACCAGGCTGGTAGCACCACCACTATCTGTGACAGATGGAAGCAAAAATGTGGGACTAGTATCGCAGAAGCCAAAGCAAAGAGAGGTACTGCCAAATGTTGTCAGCAAAGTCCATGGAGAAAATGTCCCACCTTCTAAGATACAAACTGTGTCTGTAAGTCCCGGGCAGGGGGCTGCCCCAAAACTTGTAGGCAGTCCACAAGGTGCTGCCCAAAAACTTGTAGGAGCTCCCTTGGCTAGCCCTCGTCCAGTGGTGAACCTTTCCAGTTCATCCATGCCACATCAAACTCGCACCTCCCCGGCAAGTCAGAACACTGTAAATCATTCAGCTGGGAGGCAGTCTACCCTCACCATCTCCCCCTCCCTGCTACAGGGTCTGCCGGTCCACACAGCAGGTGGGTTGAACTACGTCCAGCTTCTACTAAACCAAGGGGGTGTGAAGACCATGTTAGCCGTACCGGTCCAGGTCCAGCCTGGAGGGAAAGTCGTCATTCCGACAGGCACCGTGAACAGCCTGCAGACTACCGTATCGGCATCCCAGCCTCCCGTACGCGCACCTTCCGGGCAACAAACCGCAACATCACACCTTCAGGGACACGTGAACCAGCCAACGTCATCAGTTCAAGTACTGACACAAACAACACTGACGGGGCAAAGGCAGCCTGGAGGTAAAACATGTGCTCTGAGCTCCCCTTCCACTGGAACTTTAGCTGCACCAGTGTCATGCACTGGGATATCACCAGGAACTCCAAATGTGTGTCCTTCCTCTGTAGGGATAGAAACGAACAGAAGTACCAATGTTTGTTGTGTGGAGTTAGCCAGCACTTTTTCATCAGTACCTGTAAACCCACAACCTTCAGCTGGAGCAGCCACCCAAGTTGTGTCACGGACCATGAGTGTACCTATTATGAGCCCCAGTGTTGAGCAAACTAAGGGACATGTCGGTGTCTCCAAAACACATACCACTGAAAATGATACAAATACTAGTAGCCGGTAACAAAGTGAGTGTGAGAAGGTCAGACATCCACGTAAACAATAATCATAGAAATTCAAACTCTATTACTGGATAAATTATGGAGAAAACTTCCGGACATTTTGAGTGACATCCATCACTCTTTTCCAGCATCACTAGTGAACTAAAAGAACTAGTCAACACATCTAGTAGTTCATTAGTGACGCTGGAGAAGAGTGGTGGATGTCACTCAAAACATCCGGAAGTTATCTCCATAAGTTATCCAGTAGTAGAGTTTGAATTTTCTATGAGCAAAGCGACTCTAAGATATAAAATGGGCTTTCAAGCTAAGTGCATGACTTGAGTTTTATCAGTCATTACAATAAGGACTCTGACATTCTGATATGTAGTGATATTAGTGAGCTGTGACTAATGTACATCATGTTTCACTCTGTCATAACTAAGTAAAAAGGTAAAACTTAAGGCAAGTCTTTTTTAGGCTAGGGGCGGTGGGTTGTGTCTAGGGCACAGTTTTGGAAGACAGAGCCTATCCCTCTCCTTTACCTCCTCTCATGGCATCACTAGAAAATATTGTAAACGGCTCGTCAGTGAGGGAGGCTGCTTTGAAATCATTGCAAGGGTTAGATCCTGCTAAGTTATTCACTGTAGAATACTAGAAAGCAATACCCACAACTCGAAAAGGGTTTATAAACAAAATTCTATGCTACCTCAAAAATCCTGCAGCATATTCGAGTGGGGAATGTACAATGTATGCTACCAAAAAGCACCATGTGCTCTCAGGTTGTTTGTAATAGCTGCAATGTAGACAGGGTTAACTTGGGAAAATAACAGTACTGATAACTAGCCGACTAGTAAATTTGCTGGTGAAGCACTAAAATTCATCTATTTTGATGTCAGGTCTTTTGACTTAGTTATTTACATGTATATATGTGGAAGAGTCCATTTTGCTTGTCATGGTGTTTTTCTGTTTCGAAAAAGGCCTGCATATTTTGACTAACAGTGCCAGGAAGAAAGATCTACCATTGTAACCTTGTATTGTCAATACAATAACTTTTACCCCCACCACAAAATGTAAAAAAAGTTATCCTTATGTCACGATCATTTAACAAATGGAAAGTATTGTCTTTTTTTGAGTGAACTTACATGGGATCCAATGCTGAGTGTTTAGTGTATTTGGCTTAATGCATGATAATTTCTTTTCAAAATTGAGATGTGCATGATATGATCGTGGTTCATACATAGACTTGTGAGTAAAAGAATTCCCAGATGACTGCAAACTGGCTATGTCTTCATTTTTGTCATGACTATAACTACTGTTCAGGTACGAATTAAGTTCTGCTGATTTGTACAATTTTACTACAGCATATTTGTATCGGTATGTTTCCGAAAGAAGGGAGCGTATAAACTGTGTCAATCCCCCATATAGTTACATACGCGTAGAGATTGAATAAGCGTTTTTTTCATCATTAAACTGCGTCATTGAGAGGAAAAGATAGGCTGATGTATACTGAAGAACTTGCTGCAGTACTAACCGATGTTGCTAGGTGGCGCTGTGAGACCGCGTGTCCACATACACACAATCAGACATGTCCTTGGTGCTGAACGCCATCCACACAATAGATAATAGGTGTATATTCCTTTGGGAAGGAATATTCTGATATATACCGAAAACATTCTTAACCTTAGTTTACTCCTAGATGGTGCAGACCAACAAGAGGTTTGCTAGGAGTTTCTTAACGGTCGCAAACCGTTTATTTTGTGAAGAAAGGTGCGGAAAAATACCCACATAGTATAGTGCTTTGTATATAACTATATACTGACGAACTTGCTGTAGTACTAATCAATGTTGTTAGGTGACGCTGTGAGACCGCCTGATGACCGCATTTGTAACTTAATTATCGAATTCAAATTTTGCTCATTATTGACAGGTGGCACAGGTCTGTGCGTGAACACACATTTCCAATATGGCGAGTGTGCATGCAAGGCAGGGAAGAACGAGCGGGTAAAAATTCCGCCCTGGGAGACGCACCACGTCCGCTTTGGTGGTAAGTTGTACTTTGAATTGATGTAGATACTCTCTGGACAATTGTAGATAAATTTCCTTTAAATAAAATGAAGCAAAACTACAGAATTTAGAAAATAAGTTGCTGCAACTACAGTATCCCCCACGCCACGTGTAAACGTACTCTCCAAGCAGAGGTTTGGGTTTTAGGGTATTTTAACGTGTTTTTATGCTTTTTTATCGGGTTCTCTGTTTTGCACTGGAATTTAATAGAAAGAAAAATTCCAGTGCAAAAAAGAAACCCCTAGAAAAAACGCCTAAAACACGCCAAAAATAGCCCACAACCCTAACCTCTGCTTGGAGAGTAGAGTAAACGCTGCAATAAGTAAGCAACCGCTAGCAGCTAGGGCGCTTTTGGACTGTCACACATGTGACCCCTGACCTGGATAGCTTTGTTCAACGTGGTTTGCTGTTGTCCTGTGTGTTTTGGTCAAATTCGCGCTTCAATGTAAAACAAAAGTGTGCCGAGGCCAAGAGCAGGTAGGAAGGACACGATAGTGCCGTTTGTGAAGAGGATGGCATCTGTATCTGTATCTGTATAGCCGGTATAACCGCCTTTCGGCGTAACACACCAGCTTGGGCACCAGGCATGGGCACAAAGTGTTGAAAAGAGGGGAGACAGAACAGTTAGGGTGGGGAGGGGGGCGGTAACTGAAATAAATTATACATGTAACGTTATGTTACATCAAGGAGCTTCAAACTCTTTATCACTTTTGTTTGTCCCCAGCTCAAGCAGTTCAGTATTTGACCCCATCTTTTATGACAAAATTTTATAAATGTTTTCAGATGGCTGTTCCACTGGGTAAAGTCATCATATGAGCTGTTTTATAACTTTAAGATGGATTTCTCACTTGGTCGTTTATTTAAAATTGTTGTCATAATGTTTAAACTTTTAACGTTATATTTACCTTTGCAGAACAGTCGTGGGTGTCTTACTTAAATTCTTGAGTACCTTAGATACTTTAAAAAGTTTTATGCTGCTCACACTATTGCCAAATCACTGTTTTATTTCTGTAACATATGAGCTTGATCTGTTTTTCAATTTTCATGAATTGATATTTGAAAATTTCCATGTGTTGTTGCTAGTAATTTAATGCATGTCAACATAAGATGCATATTATGTTGTTAGTTGGATTGTGATATGTATTTTTATGTGATTTGTTATGTGACTACATGTAATGTTCAGTCTTGTTGAGTTGTTCACTGTTGGCTACACTGTGCTCTTCTTTAGCCTCACTAACAAGGTTACATGTGTTCTTCCCCCAACCAAAGCAGGTTTTAGAAGAAATGGATTGTGATACCTTATGTCATACATGTGTATCTTGTATGAGATGTATTTAAAATTTTATAACAAATGTTGTGAATATTATGATGTATTGCATGTTATGTGAATATTGTAAACATTGGTGTATGTAAACTTGGCATGAGATTTTACTGAATGTTAATTTCTTTTACACCCTAGCTTATGGGAAGCTGAGACTGTACCTGACCATGTTCCTGTGTGTGCTGTGGGACCTGTCTGTGTTCCTGTCTATATTCCTGAGGGATCCGTTAGCTATCCTGTGTACCTGATCTATTCAAGGAGGATTTGCCAGTGTGTGTTCCTGAGGGACCTGTCACCTACCTACAAGACAAGAGAACATCGGACCTTGACCGTGAGTTGGCTTTTATTTTAAGAACTCTTTCAAAAGTGGGGTCTGCATACCGCAAAGTGTAAGCATTTGCAAATTACATTTGTGTAATGCGAAGTCAGGTCGTTATGAATTAATGTGAAAAGTGATCTTTTCATTATGCGTAAATCGTAAAGCCTGCACAAATGAAGCGTAATACTGGGTTGCTGCTTTGCATACAGTTGCGCCTTGCCAGAATTTGCATAATTCGAAGTCCACGTGTATGTGTTAAACATCCAGTCTGCATGAATGTACATAAATTGTGGCCGCTGCCTTCCAGAATTTAATGCAAAGCGTGATCAGGACCTCCCATGCAGACCCTTAAAATGACAATGAAATATGTTGGAGTAGGGCATCTCTGCAATCCTCTGAATTTTTAATTTCAAACACCTGATTATCCAAACTGGCCCTCTCTTCTATTCATTGTCATTTTTGATTGAAAGAGTTCACCTTTATTATACTAATATTTAGCTTTAAGGTTGTGACTAATATTTGTTTGCATTTATGGTAGAGAACACAGTACATGTCCCTATTGAGGAAAGCACTTGCAATATTGTCTGTTGTTTCATTCTGTATAGCAATGGGATGTGTTTTCAACAACGTTGGTGATCAAACTATTTTCCCTGATATCCTAGCCTCATATAAAGAAAAATGGTGAAACAATCATGAAAGCAACAGAACGTGTAGGTATGAATATTGTGTAGCACTCAAAAATGGAAATGAGATGGAATGAACTGAGAAAATTTCATGATGATCATGAATTGTAGTTACACATGTATTTTGTTGGTCATTTTTAGTGATTTGCAACCTAATAATATTGATTTAGAACGCAAATAATAAAAACTACAAACCCACAGAGTTACAAAATGTAGATTTAGGTGGTAGTAATATTCCAGATCAGGCAGTGATTCAAAATATTAAGGACCGAGACAAATCTGTAATTTGAACTTTTTATGATTCACTCTTTTGGATTCACCCTTTTGGAAATAAACATTGTACTTTGTTTGAAGGTAGGAAAATGTACAATGGTGTTTAAAAAGCAATCGAGTAATGAGTAACGAAATGTTTCCCGGATTAATAATAATAATAATAAAGCAATCATGGACAGGGATGAAATATTAAAAACATACATTGCAGTGATTAACTGGAACTCAGTTGAAGCCTAAAGATTTATGCTATGAATAATTATAATATCCATGGCCCAAAATGTTCCTTTAAGTTTTAAATCCATGAAAAAGATATCTAATTTTGTCATATTTTTTTAATGCTTATTTATTTGCAAAAAGCATAGAATGTTGACTGCCTGCTTGATTTTAGATTCTCTTCATCTTTCACTCCTAAATATGCCTAAAATATAGGTCAAACACAGGATTACTTTATGATATCTTATGTACATAATTTGAATAAAAAAACAAGGCATTGATTGGCATTCCAAAAACCTTTTTAAACAGTTGCAACATGCGAGAGATACACATGATGTATGAAAAAATAAATCATATGATAAGAGATATTCTGAAGTACAATTTCTGTGTTCCCAGTCTGTGGATTTGAGGGAAAATACTTTGGTCACATGATGATTGTTGGAAATATGTCCTATTTCTTTACAGAAGAGGTAAAAGGCAATGTTGTGCTTTCCTTCTTTAGTGTGAAATGTACTACAGGTAAGCTGTGTGTGATGTTTTAAAGGGAGGAATCAGCAAAACAAAAATGTCTACTAGTCTTTTCGCAAGGATAGTAATTACTCTAAATTTACTCTCTACTTTTAATGCAGTCATTTAATTCACAGATAGCGTAAGAGGGTAAAAATAATATTGGTTGATAAAATTCCAGCTTTCAGCAGGTATGGCCTTGACAGTGGGGCAGGATCTCTTTCCTGGTCTCGATGGTCTCTGCAAAAGATAAAATTTCAAAATAATACGAGGATCAAGTCAATTAATTTTCTAAGTTAAAAGAGGTGTATCTTTTTAGTAAATAACCACAAATGATCACTCTTGGACCATCCTTGTCACACGATTCTGAATATTTTTTTGCTTTTGTCACGTCCAGATTGTGCTCCCATGTATTAATCCTGAGTTTAAAGTGAATTCATTCATCTTAAGTTTTATAAACCAAAGTTGACAGTTTTACTTGAGTCTTTTAAGCAAATGACCCCATAACGCCCTGCAAAATATTCTCCCTCGTGCAACTGGCCTAAAAATCCTGACCACCACAAACAAGTACATTAGGTGTCTCCTTAATTCCTGTGAAGTTTCCGTGCTGTACACGCTTTTAAAGCTCCGATTTTGCTAGAATATATTGACCGGTATATTTTGCCAGAAAAAGGTACTTTAAAGGCGTGTACAGCACAGAAACTTCGCAGGAATTCAGGAGACACCCATCATTCGTGGTGATGGATTTTGGCCCCGATGTGTGAGGGGCAAAATATGTTGCAGGGCGTTAAGTGGTCAAAAGACGGAAGTGAAACTGTTGACTTTGATTTGTAAAACTTTGGATTGATTAATTCATTTCAAACTGAGGATTAACAAATGGGAGCACAAT